ATGGAGGTTGTTCAGTGGCCCAGCTTGTGTCACCAATCTCTAATTTCACCTTTATGGGAAAGCCCTATTAATATATACCAATCATGACCCACCTATCCGCATTAAATAGTTTGCCTCACCCTAGGAAATAGCCCTTTCAGCCATATAAGGAACTCCCAGACATTCCGGCCAATATTGCTTTGTATCCGCTTTGCCTCTTCTAACATTCTACAAAACCTGTTCTTGCCCAAAATCTCGCTGAAGAGTGTTCCACTCACTGTGAGGCACTGGTTACCCCCAATTCAGGAATTGCTTACCCTTGAATAAAGGTTACTAAGTTGTTATAGTTGCAGACACTGGTTAAAAGTAATTTTCAGTAAAAATGTTTTTTAAAAATATTTATTTTAGGCCCTCCCTGGTGGCGCAGCGGGTTAAAGCGCAGCACTAAGAAGCTAAAGCCACTAATGCATGAGTTCGGTTCCCACCTACCCTAGAGAAGATCCACATGGTGAGGCAGACCTCTCCTGACCTGCCACCTCTCCTGACCTGCCCACTGCTCCCCTCAGCAGTGTATTTTGTTGATCTGCCTGTTCTGCTCCCCACTCTGTCTCTGGTGAATCCTCTCACCCTCCGCATCTCTGGCCTGTACCCCAGTTCTATATGAATAAATAAATCTTAAAAAAAATTATTTCATTTAGTTATGCAATAAGAAATGGGGTGCAGGGGGTGAGAGTAAGGAGTCCAGAGAAGTGGGGGTTGAGAGTGGGGAGCAGAACAGGCAAATCTATTGAACTACACTGCTGAGGGGAGCAGGGGACAAGAAAAGAGGTGTCTGCTGTACCACGTAGGTTAGCTGACTTGCCAGGGATAGAACTCATGCTGCAGTGGCTGGTGATAGCTTGACAGCCCTAAGACTTTAATTCGTGTGCAACAAGGGAAGCCCCTTGTTTTTTAGGGGTGAAGAAAAAAACAGTACATTTAAAAAAAGATTTACTTATTTATGTTCACAGAACTGGGGGTACAGTTCAGAGGTGTGGTGGATAAGAGGATTCATCAGAGACAGAGTGGGGAACTGAACAGGCAGATCTACTGAAATATACTGCTGAGGGAAGCAGCAGGCAGGTCAGGAGAGATCTGTCATGTCATGCGGGTCAGGTCCATGGTTGGGGATTGAACTCATGCTGCAATGGCTCTGAAAGCTTCATAGTTCGGTGCTTTAACCCGATGCACCACCAGGGAGAGCCCAACACCACATCTTTTAAGTAAGCTTTATAAAAGTTCTTTAAAATTTATAATTTAACTTATTCATAAACAGGACAGGTTGCTTTCAAAGTAAAATGTTTCTGTTCTTGCTTTTTTTCTTGAAAAATTGGTATTTGGAATCATTCTGGCTTTCTGTCAGAACCTTAAGACTTCTATTACTGAGAAGGATCAGGATTTGTGAAGGACCTTAAAATAACATAAAAGACACAAACTAATTGATTCTTATGGATTGTGAAGTCATGTACCTAAGAAAATTACCTTATCAACTATCACAAAAATTTTAAGAATTCATTATTTTTCACCAATCTCAGTTATTAATATATTTATTCTTTCTTTTTTAATGTTTGGTTTTTCTGTTGTTTTTAAAAATAAACTTCATTTTTTAGAGCAGGTTTGGGTTCATAGCAAATTTTACAGAAGGTACATTTCCCTAATATCCCCTGACTTTCATAGTACAGCCTCTCCCACTATCAAAATCCTAAGTCTTAATAACACACTATTCATTACTCAGGCTGGATACCTTAACATATGAGTAGTGCCAAAAGTTAAATAATTATAAACTAAGTACCACATGCTAAACCTATTGTGTGAAATTGGCTCTGTTTATTTGTATAGAACCAGTCAAAGGTTTTATAATTTGTAACAGCTCCTTTATGAAATCATGTTTTCCCACACATTACTCATTGTAATCAAGTTCATTTTTTGAAGTGAATAAAAATAGCTACATTTTCTTTGCTTTAAAAAGAAAAAAATTCCGGTCACCACTTATTCTTAAACTGACTTACATCTAGGTATTGAATGAAATGAAATGTAGGCTAAACTATCTAAATTCTTTGTCTTAAAAAAACAAAAACAAAAACAAAAACACAGGGCCCTCTCTGTTACATAGGTTAAAGCACAATGCTAAGAAGCTATTTGCAGCCCACACAGCACTGAGTTCAATCCCTGGTCAGGGATTTGACCCACATGGTAATGGTGTGGCAGACCAAGCCTGTCCCACCCACTGTCCCCCCTCAGAGTGTCTTTCAGTGTATCTGCTTGTTCTGCTCTCTAGTCTGTCTCTGGTGAATCTTCTCAGCCCCTGTTACCTCTGGGCTATAGCTCAGTTCCTGTACGCATATGTAAATAAATTTTAAAAAAAGGAACAAAGATCACCTATTTACTATCCCACTTAGATAGAAGTATGTCTTTAACTTATCTATTATGAAGGTGTTAGTGAAGAACTATGTTCTATTTGGGAAATCACTTGCAAATAACTCTTCCAACTATTAAGTTTTGGTTGACATCTAATATGGTCAATTGCTGTTACTTAGTCAAGTCCCAGGAGTTTCTGAGAAGATTAAAAAAATAGTAAAAAATAACTAACATGGTTACCATGTATATCTATAAAGACACCAAATGCACTGACTGTCTTGCCAGTAGAATGCTTCTTAGTGAGTGTAAGTAAGATTTTTCAAAGGATTTTTCTTTTGGAATGTAACATGAAGTTACACAGCAATTTCATGGCAAAATATATTCTATATACATCTGTGACCCAATTTAATACTGGATAAAAGATAAAAGCCATAAACGTTATTTGCTCATTGATAGGATGTCAGCCTTTTTCAGTGTATTAAGTATAATTTAGTATGTATGTTTGTGATTCCCAATGATTTAACAGAGACTTCTCATAATAGGGTATGTTTCCAATTCCACTAAATGATGGGTGGAACTCAGTGACCAGATTAAGCCATATAATGTGGAAGGCAGGGGGGCTTTGAGACTCAAAGCAAGGACAGACACAGGAGAAGGTCTTGCTTCTCAGCTTTGGATTTGCACCAGGGACTTGGGATATGGGAGAGAAATATGTAGAGACATTTGAAAGATACTTGGGTAAGGTCTTTATCTTGATTTGTACTTTAATTATATTTCTTTGTTCCCAAACCTCTGGTCCTTTTAGCCCCTTTCCTGTGGCTTTCAATTAGAAGATTTCTTAGACTTGTGGCAAAGCTTTTGGACCTCAATGGCCCTGTTTCAGCCCAATACGATTTAGCTGAACATGAACTCACAAAAGGATGGGTAACTGCGTTTTTTTTGTTTTTTTTTTTTTAAAGATTTATTTATTTGTGCATACAGAACTGGGGTACAGGCCAGAGGCTCAGGGGCGGCGAGAGGCTTCACCAGAGACAGAGTGGGGAGCAGAACAGGCAGACTGTCGAAGTACACTGCTGAGGGGAGCAGCGGGCGGGTCAGGAGAGGTCTGCCATGCCATGTGGTCACCTCCGGGGCAGGCGGGAATCGAACTCATGCGGAAGCGGCTTTAGATTCTCAGTGCTGGGCTTTAACCCGCTGCGCCACCAGGGAGGGCCGGTAACTGCGTTTTTATTGGGAAACTTTCCTTCTTTTTTTTCTCTATGCTCATTAACTATTAAAGGTTTTTTACACTATGAGTATGCTTTGTTTCTGTCCATGGATAGACAGACCCTTCTAGAGAATGCAGTTTGGGGGACCAGGGATACCCATCTGACTCCACCTAACAAGAGGCTCTTCTTAATAATATAGTAGTTTCTATGTGTAGATAAAAGTTATTGCTAGAGACCACATTTATATAAATTCTTCTTCATAGGGCATAGATTTCTTTTAAAAAGCTAGATTACAATGTAATTACTATCTATATAGTTTTTAAAAAGGGTGTAGGTATTGCTATGATACAACAAAACTGAGTTTGAAAAACAGATCTCTAAATCCAAACCAGATGCTGAGTATCAACTATCTGTAAAACACTTACTAGGGGTAAGGGCAAGGAGGGGGATAGGAAGAGCACTATATTAGGATATTATGTCAGATTAATTTTTCTTTCTTGTTCTACAATTGAAAATTCTATTTATATTAGCTCATCTTACATCTTTGGGCATACATCCAAAGACCAGAGATAAAAATCAATAGAAAAAATAGAATTTATTCTCGATTGAATTTCTTTCTTTTGAAAATATTTATTCCTATGAAACAACCTATTACTTAAAATGTAAAGGATACAAATATTTTTAAAATCTTTTATCATTATTATGGAAATAAAGTTCTGACTAAGAAAAGCACGCGCGCGTGCACACACACACGAGCCTTTATCACCAGCTATCATGACCTTAGAGTGAGCATGTACAACATCCACCACACTGTGTTTATATCCTGCCTTTTGTGAACTGAACAAAACAATGTGCTTCTACAGGAACTCTGAGCTAAACAGCAAGACTTCTTAAGGAGAAAAGGAATTTTTATTTTATTTTAAATTCTTCTGGTGTCAAAGTTAAAAGTTGTACCAAATGTTACAACAATTGTTTTTGCTCCTTCCCAAGGGAATCACTAGCTTAACTATATTCTTCTTTTTTATACACTTTTGTTATTTGATTAGAAAACTTGTTGCTTAATGTACAAATCTCAGACTTGAGAGGTTGGGAGGAAATGAAGCTCAACTAACACAACAAAATAAAGTTGTTTTGCTGTGTTGCGGCTGCCAAGCTTTTTGTTACTCTACTTGAAAGTAAATGTGACTTGTCTGTAGAGAGTGCTGCTTCAGCAGTTCCAAAAGAATTTCAAGCCTGTGCTCCATATTTTCTCTTTTGTAAGCTTAATGTATTCAGCCACACTGAACTGACAATTTAAATAACTACATCTTTAAACAAACGAAGCATTGATGTTAATGTATGAAAATGGTCCAATCCCTGGGAATCTTGGTTCCCACCATTGTTTATTCTGACAACAGGATATAATTGCTTACTTACTTGGCAGCAAATTTAACCATCTGCTTGCTTGCATGGTCTCCAACTGCCACAAGAGCCTGGACATTAAACTGCTGCTGACGAAGGACTAGGAAACACTGCTTCCCTAAACATGACAGAAGGAACACAAGTATATTAAGGACAGGCTACTTCAGGTTTTGCAAAGAAGGATAACTTCCATACTTTTTCATTTACTATACCAGTTGGCATGTACATATATGTATATTCAGTTTCCACAGCAAAATACCACTCAATTAAGAAACTTTAAAGAAATCTAAGTTCCTACCATGAATAACAAACAATACTTTAGCCTGTTATAAGAACATAAGCAAATCATTCATTTCAAATATGGATCAAGAAATTAATTTTGTTGCTACATTTATTTATTAAACAAATTTCAAGTAACTTTAGATGACTTTCAATAGCATTCAGTAACTGGGATAATCTACAAGCAAAGGTAATATACTAGCATCATGGGAACTTTAATAACATAACCACAAAAGAACTAATAAATGCTTAGTAAGCAGAACACAAGCATTCTGCAAAGGTGATCCATTTTTCCATTTTATTTTCTACCAAAGTACTTTGTTTTTTAAAGATTTATTTATTTATACATACAGAACTGGGTTACAGGCCAGAGGTGTGGGGGTGTGTGTGAGAGGATTCACCAGAGATGGAGTGGAAAGCAGAACAGGCAGATGGACTGAAATACACTGCTGAGGGGAGCCGCGAGCGAGTCAGAAGAGTTCTTCTACGCCATGTGGTTCACCCCCCTGGCCATGGCTCAAACTCATGATGCATTAGCTGTGATAGCTTCATAGTGCTTTACTTTAACCCGTTGCACCACCAGGGAGGGCCCTCAAAGTACATTTTTAAGAGCATTTAGTTTGACAGGCTAGTTTCTTTCATTTTTTTATTGTCCTCATTGGTTCTTTATCATTTCCCAATCTTATATCCTTTATAAAAGTTCCACATTTCTTAAACTACAAATAGTTTACTTTGTTTAGGAAAAATAACTCTCTTTATATCCTATACCTAGTTTTACTTTTACATATTCTGGGTATATTCATTTCTCCTCCTTTTACAAAGAATTACCACAAAAAATTACCATTTCTACTCTTCACCTTTTGAAAATATTTTTGATAATACATTCAGACACTATGTATGCTGGTGATGACATCCTTTTCCTCCACAGCAGTTCTTTTATAAATTTCTGATCAAATTTTGGGAAGTTATTCATAAAACAAACTATGTCTTTTCAAGACCAATTTTTCCATTTGGTATTAAATTGAGAGTTATCTTTTACACTGAGAATTAGCTTTACCAAAAGAAAAAAATAAATAAAAATGCAAGCAGACTTATGGTTATTACTTTGAACAAAAATTCTGAAATTCAAATCAGAAAGCAACTGTTGAATAAAAAAAAAGACATTAAAAATAAAGTGTCAACACAGACATAATCTATAGAATTGTAAGTTATATACGACTGACATATTTTCACCTGTTTCTTTTCTTTTAAAAAAAAAATTATTTATTTATTTATACAAGAACTGGGGTACAGGCCAGAGATGAAGGTGGTGAGAGGATTCACCAAGAGACAGATGAGGTGCAGAACAGGCAGAAGTACTGAAAATACACTGCTAAAGGGAGCAGCAGGCGTGTCAGGAGAGGTCTGCCGCACCACATGGGTAACCTCCTTGACTGGGGAACGAACTTGTGCTGCAATGGCTGAGGAAACTTCACAGTGCTGTTCTTTAATCCCTTGTGACACTAGGGAAGGTCCTGTTGCTTCCTTTTGGAGTATGATAGTCACAAAATAAAATCTTTAAAAAGAGAGTTATATGTACTAACCTAATTCAAAGGAATTTTAAGATGCCAAATGAGTAAAGAGTGTTACCATTAAGAAATCTGCAGACAAATCAAAATGACATTATCCCAGGGCTACTGAAACCATAGCTAGATGATGCATTTACAACAGAGTATCAGCATGAAATGGAAAGTAAGAGGCATGATTGAGTATTTTAGTATTTTAGCTGCTCTAATAGTACAGACAGAAGCAATACAGATTTAATTGCTCTGCAAAGAACAATTATGATGTGAGAAACTACAATGCTATATAGACAAAAGACATAGAATATGGTGAGCTCTACAGTACTTCACAAGCATAGGAAAATGTCTCTGGGTCAGCATTAGTGGGTAACATGTAATATAAAGGTTTGGCAAAGAGTAAAAGCTTTGAAATTAAAGCACCTAGGATCACATCTTTAGTTTCACTTCCTATGAAGGGTCATGTGGGAAAATTATTAAACACTTTATGCCCCAGTTACTTCAACTGCAAAATGGAGAAAATAATAGTGTTTCACTCAAAGGTTTCTTTCTATAAACCTTGATGATTATATAAGTTATATATTCAGTTATGATAGACATCCAATTAATATTAACTGTGATTTGTTAACTATTAGTATCAATAGTATCACTGACCACTTTAATTCTAGAGCTGATAATCAGTTCACAGACTAGTGCAAAAACTGTAACAGGTTCTGGGAACACAAGGGTACATAATTTGTTAGACATTCATATTTGTTAGACATTCATGATATTTTGCTATGTGAAAAGAGCAATAAAACCATATATAGAGTACAACCCCAATTTTGTTCATGTAAGAGGTATATTAAAATTGATTGCATAGGAGGACAAAACTTAACCCAATTGTAAAACTGATTGTGTAGTAGTAAAAAAAAGCATAGAAATGTAGTGAAATTGAGTATTCTGGTTTTTTTTTTTTTGTATTTCTGTATTTTTTACAATCAACACACACTCCTTTTTTAAATGAAAAAAAGTATTTTGAGGGGGCCTCCTTGGTGGCACAAGGGGTTAAAGACAGCACTATGAAGATATCTGCAACAACTGCAGCTGGCCACATGACCAAACAGACTCTCCTGCCTTTCCATCTGCTTTCTACTCTATTTCTGGTGAATCCCCTCACCTCTCTACATCTCTGGCTTACAGCCAGGCTCTTGTATAAGTATAAATAAATAAAATAAATCTTAAAAAAAATAAAATATATATTAAGAAGACAACACAGAAAAACAGGTATGGAAATCTTGGCCATGTTCAAGATTTAGCAGAAGAGTACTAAGTGGGGACATGGGAAGTTCTAGGAAACTAAATACACAAATACTCTCCATAACATCTGACACATCTGCTGAGAAAAGAAATAATAAATCAACTGCTTTCTTTTAATGTGAATATGTCTATTAAAGGTAATCCTAAAAACTAAGCCACTTACTTAAAAAAAAAAGTTAACAGACTAGACAAAATGGGTTAAAAAGTGAGAGCACTACAATAGACATTATAAACCTGTAAACATTATAAACTGGTAGTAAGTAAAAGCATACCATCACAAAAACAGATCAATGGAATGCTGGAAAATATGGAGACTAGACCCTATTGAAGAAGAGATTCTAATTCTAGATGGAACTCAGGCAATTAACAAAAAACCAGCAACAAATAAACTCAGTAAAAAATGGAAATGATAATTAAAGTCTGTAATAGAAGGGAAAACTTCCTAAATTAAAAAAAAATTACAGAATAGACAAAAATTAAAAGAAAAATACTGAGAAAAATTTTGCTAAATGACATGTAATCTACATGACTTAATATCTTTAATATATAAAGATCTTAAGGACATACGGGATAAAACACACTTAGAACCCAAGAGAGAAACAATGAGTTAGAACAGATTGATGGAAAGAAAAAACTGTAAGTACAAATAAGGAAAAAAGTTACTAGAAATGAAAAGTAATGCAAGTTGAAGCAAGCAGTGATGACGTATTCTTTACCTGTCAAATTAACAAATACTTAAAAATATGTAATAGCATCCAATGGTTGGGAGAAATTAATAAAAACTGATCCTTCCTAATTTGTTGATGGCAAGTTAAACTTCCATATGCTTTCAGAGAACAATGGGGCAGTAGGCATTAAAAACCTTAAAAATGTTCTTTTGGGCTCACCAAATACATTTCTTAGACTATAAATATTAAGGAAATTAAGTATGAAAAAGTGTGATTAGTAAACAATAAAGATAACTGTATTCTTTATATAAAAGAACAGAAGAACTATTACCACTCATTTTATATTTATGTACTCTATCCACATGTGACTTATAATATGAGATGGTCTCCAAGCTTCCCGTATTCAAGTATTTTCAAATACTAGAACCCTGACATTTCACTCAAACAAAAATCAGCATTAGTTTCTAGGTAAACAGAACTGTTTACGCTATCAAGTAATTTAGAGAACAAGTTCTTCTAGATATCCGTTGACAAAACTGTTCTTTCTTTGGCTCTGGATGTGATACTCTGCACTGCATGATCTACTTAGTTCAATGTTTACAAGGCACTATCTTCTGGACACTTGTGAGAGATAACAAGGTGCAGAAGGTATATGATCCCTTTAATTAAACTTAAAAAAAAAAAAAAAAAACAAGAATATATACCCAAGCTTATAAATGCATTTTCTTCCTAGAGGTATATACTAGAAAACATCAGTGGGTATTTTGGGGTAAGATTTTGTGATAGGCTGGAAGAGCTAGCATTGCGAGACTTCATTTTTTTCTTTGTAACTTTTACTATTAGAATTTTTATTTTTATTATATGCACATATTATTTTCGACTTAAGAAGAGGAATTATAATTTCTTATTTTAGCAAAATGTTTTCATTATATAAGTAATAATAGGAACTTTATAAAATGGATTAATTAACTGTTATTTACTCACTGTTTTTTTCTTTGGAATTCTCCAACCAGGAGATAGTATAGACAATATGGAGTATGAATGTTCAAAATAGTCAAATTAATTTTATATCTTAAAGTTAAGCCTTTAGGGACCTCCCTGGTGGCACAGCGGGTTAAAGCACTGCACTGAGAATCTAAAGCTGCTTCCGCATGAGTTGGATTCCCGCCTGCCCCGGAGGTGACCACATGGCGTGGCAGACCTCTCCTGACCCGCCCGCTGCTCCCCTCAGCAGTGTACTTCGTTGATCTGCCTGTTCTGCTCCCAACTCTGCCTCTGGTGAAGCCTCTCACCGCCCCTGAGCCTCTGGCCTGTACCCCAGTTCTGCATGTACAAATAAATAAATCTTTAAAAAAAAAAAAAAAAGTTAAGCCTTTAGCAGTTAAAATTTTGCGTTGGATTTTGCTTTTTTTTTTTTTTTTTAAGACTTATTTATTTATGGAGTACAGGCCAGAGGTGCAGAGGGTGAAAGGATTCACCAGAGGCAGAGTGGGGAGCAGAATAAGCAGATGTACTGAATTACGCTGCTGAGGGGAGCAGCAGGCTGGCTAAGAGAGGTCTGCCACGTCATGTGGGTCACCTCCCTGGCCGGGGATCAAGCTTGTGCTGCAGTGGCTGCGGAGAGCTTCATAGTGCTGCACCATAACCCATTGCACCACCAGGGAGGGCCCTGTATTTTATTCTTAAGTTTTTAACAGTCAGTTTTTTGTTTGTTTAATTATTTTTCCCCCATCACCAACCCTTGTGTCCCCTTGTTCCTTTCTTCCTTCCTGCTCCCTATTAGCCTTAGAGGACTAAGTGTTTGACTTTTGTAGTAATTTTCTTTTGCAAATCACCAACTATGTAAATGTCCACTATTTGTTTTGTCATCCTAACTTGCTTTACTACACATAATATTCTCTCACTCCTTCCGTTTTGCTGGAAATGAACACATTTTATCTTTCCCTATGGCTGAATAGCATTCTATGGTGTGATCCAACTGATTACTGGTGGATATTAAGGCTGCTTTCAAGTCCTTCGTACTGTAAATAGTGCTGCAATAAACATTGCAGATGATGTATTTTTTCATTATGTGATGCTGTTTAATTGCCTTCCATTTTCTTAAAATGTGTTTGATCTTTTCAGTAAGAGTGTGCTACTAGACAGTATGTGTTAAGACCCAAAAGTCAATGCTGTATTTACTACAAGTGCATACAACACCTACTTTATTACCTATTTGTCTACTAGAGTAGGTGCTGTGTATCAGGCAAATAAAATACGCAGTAGTGCTTTCCAGGAGACTCTGACATGAAATGTGATTAATAAATTACTACATTGAAAAGTAAGTAAATGTCATACTCAGTATCACTCAGTTACTGAGGGCTTACTTTACATCAAGCACAGTACTCTAAAAGCTTAACTTCATAACATTCTGTAAATTAGGTATATTATACAGCCACCAAGGCTTGGAAAAGTTAGGCAATTCACCTGAAGGCAATCTGTTAAGGTAACAGACTGTTAAGTGCCAATCCAGGATTCAAACAAACTATCTGTCTCACTCAAAAGTCTTATTCATAACTACTGGTAAATACCACTCACTGATGGGTTTTCAATGTTGAGAGAGGAAAAACAGAAAGGAAACCATGAAGGAATGGGTCTCAAGGAAAATACTGTTAGTTTAGGCTTACATGTAAGCATTCATTGTCTTTTAATTTGCTAACTAATTATATTTAGGAAATATACCCAGTTTACATAGAAGAAAGGTTTACAGTGTAATGGAAAAAAATAAATGATGGACTATAACACAGTGTGATTATATGTTAGTAGGTAAATGACAACATTCATTCAGGGACGCAAATTAACATTTAAAAAAATGTAAAACCCCATCAGTATTCTGAAAGTTCATCAGTATTTATCTACTTGCACGAGGTTATTGGAAGAATAGACAAACTCTTAATTATATATTTATTTAGTTATCAGAATTACTATATATATATATACACACACACACATACATACATCTTACACACATACATACATCTCACGTGAGTCATTATTTAATAAATGTTTGGATTTTAAGATAATAGACATAGTAATAATAACAAATATTTTAAAATACAATATAAAATACTACTATAACATGGAATGCATTAAAGAGCACAGAAGTAATTATCAACAATTTTCACAAGGGAACTGTAGTTGGTCTAAACCACCCAAATCTTTCTTTTTGTTAATACTAAATTCTTAGTTTAATATTACCCAATAGAATTTTCTACAAGATGAAAGTATGTTGTATTTGTACTGTCTGTCCAACATGGTAGCCACTAGTCATGTGGCTATTAAGCATACAAAACGCTATTAATGACTGAGATAATAACTTCTAACTTTAAATCCTAGATATAGCTAGTAGCCACTATAATGTACAACCCATTTTTACTCATATTTCTCTTCCATCTCTCCCTGCCTATATAACATATAAACTTAACAAATGAGAAGTTTCAAGTACGTTTTCATTTTAAAAAATTATACTTTTTAGAGCTGCTATAAACATACCTTAAAATCAGAGATTTCATGTGTCATTAAGATCAAATTATTTTTAAGAATTTCTTATAGGATCTTAAAGTTAGCCATGAATTAATATACTAATATAGTGCTTTAAGAAAACAGGCATTTTTGTGGTTTTTAAAGATTTACTTTGGTCTATGAGTAATTTGCAAGACAAAAACCAGAGTCCTTATCAAAAGACCTTTAATCATTCTATCAATCTTACCTTTAGCTCTGCTTGTATGAATCCTTGCACGCACCCAAACAACTTCATCAGCTTTTTGTACTGTCAAGTCTCTAACCCGAACCAAACTTCGATCTACAGCAAATAAGTGAAGCAACATTGTAAGAATTTATAGAGATAATTATTTTGGTTTGACAGCTAACGTAAGTACTTTGAATTATCTTAAATAATTCTCTATCTTTGGCACCAGCTTTTCAATCTCCTTCCACATGCAATTCACCTCAAATTTTGTGAACTGTATTTTCTAAATATATCTTCAAATAATCTGCTTACTCTTCTTTCATCTTCACTGTCTGAATCCTAATACCTCTTGCCTTTTTAAACTCAAGCAATAGTCTAGCAAGCAATTCTCTGGTTCCCTTAATTCATTTTATATTGCAGTTAAGAGACAAAAATGCAAATCTGCTGAAATGTTCAATATTATATGGTCAAGTACAGTTTATCTTCAATCTGCCTTTGCCTATGTGGACAATGTCTGACTGCCACCATAGTACGTACGTCAGTTAGTGACTGCAGGAAAGCAGGTAGGGATTCTCTGCCAGGCCTAGACAGTCACAGTACTCCACTGCCCAGAACACAGTTACTGACCTAATGAAGGGCATTGCTGCAACTGAACTAATCAGTGTTATTCTGGGACTTCATAGACAGAAACCTAGGGATAAAGGTTGCTGAGTAAGAGGTATAGGCCCAGGAATGCAATCATATTTCCCACTATACAATTTGTAGGAAAAGAGCATGAAGTAAAAAACCTAAAGGAAAGAGCTAAGAGATGGAAACTGAAGCCCTGAAGATGCTGCTGAAAGCGGCTGCATCCAAAATACTTATGGTATTTCACTCTTTGCTTCCTACAGTAACAAAAGCCAATACATTCTTCTTTTGATTATGCGTCCCAACAAATAAGGCCTCTAATTCTAAAAACAAAGTACTACATCCATCTACAGTTTCCCAAATAGGAAAACCGTGACAAAGCAGTTATATGGAGATAATACAAAGCAAGATACAGAAACAAAATTATTTTTGATATAAGCGAATACTTCATCAACAAAGCAAATGGATGAGGATTTTTTTTACTGCATTATGATTTCTTTTTATTGAGGTACAGCTGATATACAACACTGTATATTATCAGAGATATAGGTTTACCCCCTTTTAGATGTATGTTATCGTATCCACCCACTACTAATCCACCCATAATCCTCCATTCTAGTCCCTTGAGCCCCGTCCTCCAGGGGAATGAGGAATTTTTAAGCCACTGAATACCACATGATAATTTCTGCACACTACCAAAGACCTTATGAGTTAAGCCAATTTCTAAGTCTGCTGTGTGAAGCAGGGAAAAGAAAATGTGAAAGAGACAGACAGAAATGCAACACAAACATTTAAAAGGTAGATTTGAAAATGGAAGATCAAATGCTAGGCAATAAAAAAATTGAACAAAACAGAACAGCATACATATAAAGGAGCAGATTTACAAAAAATGTTATTAGGATACATTTTAATTGTACTCTGGAAATAAAGTATAACTACCCTTATTTCATGTGGCATTCTAAGTAACTAGAGGGGTTCTCAATCTTCAACACATCCACAAATACTTGAGGCACTCCTCACACTCTCACCATTACAACAGTTGAGTCAATGTTCAGTGGCAATAGTTTCAGTTTAAAAACTCTGCCTTACCACACTCTTCTAGCCCCACGCAGTAGTATTAAAAAGAATTTAGAGAGGTAAGTGGAGAAAAAGGAAACTTTGTTAAAGGTTAGGATTTTAGCAGAGGTAAAACCAAAGGCATTATTTTATAATTAAGTTACTATAACCTGATTATATCATAATTTAATATATACATCTTTCCCTGTGTGGGGAAAGTCTGCATGTGGAAGACAGTGTGAATCTGTGGACAATGACTAAATGGAGCTTATGGAAAAGAATGAAAGTCCAGTGAGCTACATCAGTATTAGAATGCAAGGTAGTATGGTTCAATATGCTTAACTGATAGAGTCTCAAAAAATGACTCCTGCTTGTCCTATCAGGGAATGACATCACCTATACTTTGTTGCTTATAGCAATTTATACTTATATTACTTTGGTTATTTTTATCTTATTAGGTATGACTTATTTTTAGCAAATTATTTTGATTTGGCCTGTTTTTTACACATGTTCAGCAAAGTTGGGAAAGAAAGCAATTTTGTGATTGTGCAATAAACTCAGTCCAAAATAGTAATAAAATTGACCAGGAAGCATATTATGTCCAAAGCATAATATTCAGATAGAACTCTAAATTGGTAGTAATTAGTGCTTCCAAAGGGTCAGAACTTAAAGGTTTACAGTTGTATCAAAGATTGAAAGATATGTTTGAAGTTGTCTACCTAGAAATATAATTATTGAGCAAGGTAAAACTGCTGAAATCACATAACACAGAAACAAAAGTAAGGGAAATGCTTACATGTAGAAAACCTACAGGTCTAAGAAGAATAAAATGTGACATGTCAATTTCAAAGTACTATAATAAATTTATAGGGGAAAAGCAAAGGAGAACTTTACAAAGCATACAAAACAGCTGTATATGATGGAGGCAGCTGTTATTAACTGCTCTTCTTTTATCCCCTAGGTCAGATTTAATTTTAACCTAATCACTTGGGAACATTTTTAAAATTTCATTTACCACTTAAAATATACTCATTTAATGTATTTTTCTTTTTTTTCTAGATGAGACTATAACCTGAAAATGCTTACTCAGGGTTATGGCATCTGCCTAGATTATTAATGTCATTTAAACTCTAAAGAGTTATGCCTTTAATTGTGCCAACTTTAAGCCTTCATGAAGTTTCTGGAATTAGGGGGAAAAAGTTTTATTTGTTGTCACATAGTTACTAACCTGGCTTATCTTGTGATTGTATGATTGAAGATACTCCATATCGTTCTTTAGCATAATCCTACGAAATAAAAGTTTTTCCATTATGACTTTTTGTTTAAACACTAATAGCATAATATATGATAAATACACATAAAAGGATATAACAATCAATTTAATTTTCAGGATGACTATTAATTCAGAGAATAAGCAGTTTTAAAGTGTGGAAATCTGTGATACTGTTTATATATATGCTCTCTTAAAGAAAATAGATAAGCACCTGGTTTCTGACTTGTTTTGAAGATTACCACTCCCGGTGGTAATATATACAATATATATAATAGCATTCTCAGTTAAAATTTACACACACGTACACGTCTTAACTACTTTCTTCAAAAAGGAGATTAAATTACTTCAAAGCAGGGACATAAATTTCCTCTGAGGAGGGATGAAGTACCACAGTTTTATTAATTTCCTATTACAGGAAGAGATGTTCAAAGAGAACCAACATTTTGGACAAGCTTTCTGAGCACCAGATGTCCATAGTTTTTAGAAATCAGAGATGTTGTACATAAGCTAACTACAACTTTCCTTTTGTAAAACATCATTATAAAATTCCTCAGCTTCCTGTTTCTAGCAACCAGGTTCAGGGTACAAGGATGTACTAACAATTCTATAATATCAAATTCTTGTTAGAAATTCAAATTTAAGAACAGGAAACAGGAGATATAGCGTGCAGATTATTATTAATAAACTATCTGTATTAAATAAATTTAATTTCATCTTAACTCTAAATAATATTTTAAGATCCTTCCAACTATAAAATGACCTAACTGCCACAACATCAATACATCTAGACCTACACTATCTGCACGGGTGCACTGTTATTTACATAGTTAATTAGAACAAGAATATGCAAAAATAATTCTCATAGACTTTCCAAAGTAACTTAAAATGTGTCTAATATATAGTTTTTGTCACTTATAGTAACCTTTTGAAATTCTCTCCTTTGTCTGGAGAATTCTGGACTTTGTGTTCATACTAAAATAAACCTAAAGTGCTTATTTAACATTTTTTCAAATATAACAAAATTCTTTTCTAATGTAAAAATAATATACCCTTTTAATGAAATACCCTCAGTACCCAGCTCTAATAGGTACAGTCACAGGATGTAGCAGGAGTGCATTATCAGTAGGTTGCTGTGTATGAATAAATGAGGTCACTTACTAGTACTATTCACATTTCACCCAGTATTTTGAGATCACCTATTCTTTATGTGGTTTTATCACAAATCTAGAATTCCTCAACAGAAAAATAAGGTGTGGGGGTAGAATTAAGGCTCAATTTCATTGTAACAGTCATATTGTTGGATGGTTTCAAACTTTCAGTTTTGTGAAGCACTTAAGAACCACAGGGTGTTGCGAATTACCCACATCATTCTAGGTCACTTCATCTCAAAATTCATTCCCTGCAAATTTCACTACCTACCTCCCCAGGTTAACTAGAGGGGCAAAAAAAAAAGTGTTCTTTAAAGGTGTCACATGGAAAAATAATAGATCGTTTCAAGAAGTATTATAATTACTTTAAAAACATTTAAAAAAAAACAAAGAGGGGTCAGTAAAAATTGGTTACTAGTGGACATTACAATTTCCCGGGAGTGGCGCGGATGTGCATTACGTGCAAAACGTGCCTAATCCATGGAGTCTTAAGTGTGACCCTGCAGTTCCTACTTCCGGGGCAGCTGGTGTTTCACGCCCACCCAGCCCCGGGACGTGTTTCTTCCAGACCAAGCCTCCCCCTCGCAAGGGGTAAACGCGATCCGAAATACATCTAAGGACCACAGGGTCTTGCTGTTTGGCAAGAATCCTGGAAGCCCAGGGAGGACCCCGGGAGCTCCGACGCCATGCTCGCGGCTTCCTAGCAAGCACCGATAGGGACCCCAAGAGGTGGATCCCCGCTCACCCAACTCCCTCCCTCTGCGCGGCCAGGCTCAGAGGGTCCTCCCAGACCCGGGAAAGAAGGAAACCCACTTCCGCCGCGTCCATGATCTCCCGCGGCTTCTCTTGACTCTTGCGGCTGGCGCTGGCGCTGGGCATCTGGACAACTGGACCGGGCAGCAGTCACTACCCTCCCTCGTAGGCTTCCGTAGGACAGGCCAAAGGGGTTTCTCCCACCCACACAATCTCCGCCCTCCCGGCTAGTCTCAGCACACGCGGTCTAAACCCGCGTGCAAGATCGGCTCTGGAAAGATCGCGAGAACCGCGGCTACTCGAGATTCCAGGGCGCTAGAAGGCGAGTGGCCGCCCACAGTCCTCTGTTCGGCCCCGCCCCTCCGGGCTCTACCGGAGTTGGAGGGAATCTCGGGAATTTGTTATAGTATCGCGGGATTGGCTAGGGAGAGTTCCGCCTCCATCCCTCTTCAGTCTCCACTGCGACTTTGGCGGTGTTTTTTCTTCAGCGCTTGCTCTCCCTCCCGGCTTGTCATAGCCGCAGACTTCACTAAAACACCCACCCAAGCTCAGGCTTTGGTTTTCCTCTTCTGGAACTTCTCCGCCTTCACTTTCTGCAGAGTCAGTGTAGCTGCCTAGGGGCTAAGAAACCACCTTGCAAACCGATACTCTGTTTACTGGGACCCAGGAATGCTGAGTTGTAGGCACTTGCCTTGCAAGGTAGGACTCAGTACTGCTGCTCAAGTGATAAGTAAAGTGTAAACACAATGCCGCCCCCGCCCCCCCCCCCCCAAATACACACAGACACATTTGCACTGATGATGCCCGGACCTGTTGCTTTGTTAAAGGCAAATGGGTAGTGTTTTTGTGCCACGGATAAATCTTGCCCATTCCCTTTTTTTTTCTTCCACGTTGTCTTCATGAACATTTTATTGCAAGAAAAAAAAACATGGGGGTGGGGGTTTGGTTAAGTACTGTCTCCCCTGTTAGACTTCTTTGCCCTGCATCACATTTTAACTAAGCAGTGTTGAGGCCTGGCACAAGGTGGCACAGAACTTGTTTAGGAGTGTAAAGAGACACCAATGCAAACGGAAAGGATTCGAGGCCACCTCACTAAGGCTCAAGGATAAAATGGCAAAAAGGTGACTTTGTGTAGTCTGCTGTTAAATTGCAAGTGCAGGGGTCTATGAAAATTTCTTTAAGGGTATTCATTTTGGTTTCCTTGAGGAAATGAAACAAGCTAAAATCTAAAGTAGGAGGAGGGGTCAGTCTGGTGATGAGGGGCTGAAAAAATAAGCAAGGCAGAGACTTAACAGACAGGGAGAAAAAACCCTAGGCTTCGTTTTGGATGTATGTCGTGCATATGAGATGAGTTTGAGACATCCAAAAGGAGATGTGTCACTAAGCACTGTTCTTGTAGGATCTGGTGAGTAGAAGAGTGGTTTGGGTTGCAGCTATAGATGTAAGACACTGGGAGATAGGTAGTAATTGAAGCTGTGGACTAAAGTTTATGTCAATGCTGCTTATACTTTAAGGTGATGACATAAATATTTTGGTATGTAGTAGCTTTACATACCCACACACACTTCACATATATAACCATAACTTGTATCATCTCTCAGTCTTCTTGCATATTCATTGATGTCTTTAGTAAACACTGTTAATGTATGGGGTTAGAATGAACTAAGAGATGACAGTGAAGAAATGAAAGTAAAAGTGATTATAGCAAAACTTACAGGGATTACTGCATGTCAAGCACTTTTGTCAGTATTTACATATACTAACAATACAAAATGAATTTCCATGAAAGGGGAAATAAAAATTCCTGAACAGTGAATGGATGACATTTCCTTTCCTCTCCTCTTTTAGGCAGCAACCTTGGACTACAATTCCCATCAAACCATCCTGAAGAGGGGGGAACAAGGTAGAGATATATTTGAGGTGGAGGAAAGGAACAGGGAAGACATGTGAAGGGAAGTAACTTGGAGGAGACATGTGGAGGAGAGAGAAGTGGAGAAGAGACATGTGGGTGAAAGACTTGGGGAGGGTGTCCCTACTGCTTGGCAGAGGATGGTAGCTAATATCTTGATTTGGTGGTGGAGTATATGATAAATCTTTCCTTCTAGTCCAGCTCTCTGGGGCCTGCCTAATCTCTTTCTTGTGGTCCCCTACCAGAATCACAGTGCCTCAGACTTGTGGCAAGCTTTTGTGCTTCTGGTGCCCTGCTTTAAGTTGATCCTATTTGGCTGGGCATTTGCAAAGGAGTGGTACTTTCTGGAATTTTATTAGGAATTTAAAATCCTTTCTTCTCTTTCACTCTCTTTCCTTTTTCCTCTGATCAACTAAAGATCTTTCAAACTGACAATCTGTTCTCAATGTGCAGGACAGGAATTTTCTAACATGTACCCCCCTTTACAGTGTGGGGTCCCTCAGTTAAACACACCCCTCAGTTGTATGTTTACATTAACTTACTTAATTTGTTCACCAGCATTATCAGAGATGATATAATCTTTACATATGGGGAAATTGAGGCATACAGAGGCTAAATAATTTGCCAGTGGTTGCAGAGCTACTGTGATGTATTTCATTTAAACTTAAGTGGTGCCAGAATCCATGTTCTTAACCACTACATTGCACTGTCTTTGGGGTACAATGAGAAGATTGGATATGAGAAGGAGAGTTCAGGATAGAGCTAAGTCAAATGAAGCTTAAAAAAAAAAAAAAGACATGCATTTAAAAACTATAGGAAGGATTCTCTTGAAAAAAAAAAAGAATATGCAAGACAAGAATTGAGAGATGGTAGAAGTTACTATGCATGTGGTGGGTGTGCGTGCGCACGCGCACGTGTGTGTGTGAATGATAAGATTGAAAGATAGGAAGTGAGATAGTTCCCCTTTCACAACTGGAAGAAGAACAGCTAGGTAGTTGTTAAGGTTGGGGTTTAGGAAAATGAGCGAACTCCCATTTGATGACTTCTGTTTTCTCTACAGAAAGAGGCTAAGTCGTGAATGATAGGGTTGGGGGCTAAAAGGGAGAGAGGAAAGAAAAGGGAGACTGGTGATTTATGGAGAATGGCAAAGGTTAAAATAGTCCTGAAGGCTATTTTGGGGAGTGCAAGAATCCATTTGGTAATAGATCACAAATAGGTCATGAAAATGAAGACTCCTCCAGTAGCACATGGCTGGTCTGGTAACAGTCTCAAAGGCAGGGATAGATACCTGTATGGGTACTGAAGCTGCTCAGCTGAAAGGAAACCCAGAAAATATCTGCCTTGAGTGGTCATACAAATACAATACACATTATGCACAAATGAGAAGGAAACTTTTATGTAAAATATTTTGAAAGAGCAGCATCAAGAAATTTGTTTTTCTTTAAATTGGGGATGCAGGAAAGGACAAAGTTGCAAATAGTTGAATCACCAACTTGCAGGACTGTAAATTGTCCCAATAATTTAAGGAGTGAAGTTTGAAGAAACGGTGTGAAATTTTATTCCCCATTTAATTGATCAGTGATTACTTAATATCTGCTTTGTCTGAAGCATTATTCTGGGTTCTCACAATAAAAAGTATTCTCAACAATAAACAGTTCAATTAGTAAGAAAATGTGATTAATAATGAATGTAAAAAATATTGTAATATTGTTAAGTACATGCATTTGAGAGAGGAGTCCTAAGATTCACTTTGAGTGGATCAGCAAATAATACTTGTTCACCACTAACCCAATTGCTAGGGAAATAGATCCTGGAAAGGCAATTACAAATGTCCATTACAAGGGCTAAAAAGATTCCTAGGATTCTGCAGATGAGTGCTCAAAAGTCAGGATTGCTTGGCTATGCTATGATAACAAACTAACCCCCTCAGTGATTAAGAAAAAAAAAGTACTTCCTCTTCATATGCCCAGGGCAGGTTAGCAAGGGGTAGTTTGTGAAGTATTCCATTTTGGGATTTTTTTTTTTGTTAAAGATTTATTTATTTATGCATACAGAACTGGGGTACAGGCCAGAGGTGCAGGGGCAGTGAAAGGCTTCACTAGACACAGAGTGGGGAGCAGAAAAGGCTGACTGATGAAGTACCCTGCTGAGGGGAGCTGCGGGAAGGTCAGGAGAAGTCTGCTGCGCCATGTGGGTCACCTCCAGGGCTGGGGATTGAACTCATGCTGAAGTGGCTTTAGCTTCTTAGAGCTGTGCTTTAACCCGCTGCGCCATCAGGGAGGGCCAATCTTGGGATTTCTTAAAGGCATTTATTAACTTTAGTTAGCTACATTCCTAACATATAAACCAATACAGAAATCTGTATGCAAACCCCATGTCTGATCTTTTCTTTAGGGTAGGGCTCTTTCCATCTTTGTCTATGAGGCCCCCACATGTGTTTCACCCTTACTTTAATCCTGTTGTCTTGATAGAGTATCCTTATTTAGGACATAATCCTAGGGTAAGACTGTGAATATATATACTATGCTCCTGGCTCTATCCTGATAGTGATGGAAAAGAAGAATTTGCACATATATCATGTGCTTAGGTCTTGTGAATATGCTCTAAAAAAGACACTATATCTGCAACTGAGGCTATGACTTGAATTTGCTGTAGTCTGCTGTCAACCTTCTGGATTTGTTTTTTGCAGGAGTCAGTTTGGTGAAAATAGGAATATGATAGTATGAATTAGCCAGTCTTTAGTGTTGTACTTATCTCTGCGGTTTCCCTTTAAGGGGCTTGATAATCAATGATTTACTATCCTGTTTAGGGACTAGGCAAGCAAATTTAGAGGTTTCTGGTTAGCTTTCTACAGTCTGATAACATTATCACACAGGCCAAATAACTAAGGAAACAACTCCAACTTGTCACCCCAGCTACCTTGCAGGTATCCAAATAAGTCACTTGAACAAGGACTAGAAATGATAATCTGAATTTGAAAGACTGTTTTGTGATCTTCCTGTTTGAGGATAAAAGGCCATCTCATATTCACTTCCCAGTCTCCCTTGGGAAACTGCCTTGGGGCGGTTTCTAGTCACCTCCTAGTTCTGGTGAGGGATGGAACCCCCCCCATGTCTCACATCTCCAAGTGGTTCCTCAGCAGCAGGGTGTTCTACAACTCATATTGCAGTCATCTGTCAAAGTGGCTTCTTACATCTTTATTGATGGAGAGTCAGGCTGTGACCTTGGTCTTGCTTGTCTTATGTGTTCCTCTGTTGACAAGAACTAACGTGGAGTTTTGCCAGCTGCCAGGTGTGTTCATTCCAAACTACATTTAGCGGCCGGAAAATTGACTCATGGGTCGAGCCTCCATGACTCATTCTTAATATTGCTGTTAAGAGATTTAAACCGTGATTGTGATTCCTAATCATTGGTTGTGATTTTCCTCCCTT